ATTTTTGTGTTACTTATTTTCTAGTTATAAAACAAATATCACATCTTTATCATTCTATTTTATCTAATTATAAATAGGAAATATCAACCTTTTCGATATTGGAAAAACATTATTTTTCAAATACGATAAAAGTGATATTAGTTTAGATTATATACTAAGCTAAACAATAATTTATAAATACTTAATAAGCTTAGAATCAAATAATTTTTTTTATTGATTGCAGAAAAATTAAAATGTAAACAAGATTACCGATCAGCTTTTCTAAACATCATAACAAATAGCAGAATAGTAAATATCTCCCTCACTCTTTTTCTTTTTATAAATATTATAACAGCAAGGATAAACAATGTGACATATATATATATTATATCATTATATATAAACTACATGTGAAAATAATGTGTGGAAATTAAAAAAATATTTGAAGATAAATTAAACAATAATTTAACAAAATAATCCAGATACTTAAAATCAAATTTTTCTTAAGGTATAAACTAATAAAAATCATAAATTGTATAAAACAAACAGAACAATACAAATTAATATACATACATTTATAAATAAATAAATAATTTAAATAATTGTTAATAGTAAACCATTTTTTAACGTTTTACAATAAACCATGTTTAATGCATGTTAATTGTTAATACAATTTATATTTACATAACTCATTTATATAAAATTAACTGTGATTATAGAACAAATAAATATAAACAATATTATATTATGAAAAACAAGGATTTGAATTTAATTTAAAATATAAAATATTTTTTTTTATCTTCTTCATTAAAAAACTCATCAAATACAATGAAAAATTGTATAATTCATTTTTATTTTAAATTTCTTTCCTTAAATCATCGGGTGAATTTAAATTACCTTAATAGATTTATTTAAAATACGTTAAAAATATCATTGTAATAATTAATATACAAGTACTTACCTAGATATAAATATTCTTTATTACATTTTCATTATTTATAAACCAAAATTACTTTGTTAAATAATACACTTTATAATATTATGTTGCAATTTATATTGTTTTTTATTAATAATTAAATTCAATCGCTTTCATTACTATTAAACTTTATTGAAATAAATATACTATAAAATAGAAGATAAATTGATCAACGAAATAATATTAAACGTTTGTTAGATTTAATTTTTGATTTAAAAACTATTAATATTTTAATTGCGTGGAAGTTATATTAAAAATATTTCGATATTGAGAAGCTTATAAAAATTCAAAAATGCGATTAGTGCATACATTTACATAACTTAGTATTGAAATATAAACCATAAAGTTGAAACTGTCATTGTCTAGCACTTTGAAATATATATTTATAGAAACATTTCGCTTAACTTAATTGTTTCCATTAGGTAGTTATACAAATTATACAATGATACTAAAGATAATTAGGTAAAGTAATTCTAAAATTCAGAATCTTATCTAGTATATTTTTAGTATGATTAGCCTTATAATTACTATTTAAACTACAATATTTAATATTTATAATTTATAAATATTTGAGTGTACCTATTGCAAATATTTGTATTGTTTTCACGTGGCATAGAAAACATTCAAATTGATACATTGTATTCAAGTGAGTACGCGGCTGTTTTTATTCCTTCATGAATTTGCCGGATAAAATGTGAGAGTGCATAGAAAAAGTATATTGATGGATAAAACGTAACACAAGCAAAAACATAGTAATATATAAATTGATATGAGTATTAACAAACCAAATACTATAAAAACTCCAATCTATAGGTGTATGTATGTTCTATTGGATATGACTACACAGAAAAAGTAATTTATTTAAATAAATAACATGAATTTTAACAGCAGAAACATTTATTTTATTTTTTCTTTGCTTTAGCAACCAGGTTTAAAAAGTTACGAATTTTCAATTAAAAAACTATGATCTAAAATGGCATTTTAAGAACACCAAATAATTATTTTTCCATTTTTTCAGACAAAAACAACCAAGATATAATATTATATAGAATGCAAAATTACCTCAGTTATACAAAAATATGATTGCTTATGGCGTAATGGTTTAGAAAGTTGAAATTCAGATCTATTTTTCTGATTAAGTTATCATAAATAGATATAGCACAGTCACAATGTACGCTGATATACATGGTCATATTTTTGAAGGAACATTTTCAGTACATCTGTATGATGTCAGTCTTATGAAACCAAATAGCACTTTTACAATTTCGGTCAAAAATATTAGTATCTTAGCTAAGATATCTTTGCAAGACGTCTTTATACATTGTATGATCGATAGAGTAGTAATATTTATGATCCTAAACTGATTTATTATCATGGTTTTCTATATGGCACGCGACAGAATCATATACTATTTGGTTTGACATACTATAAACCACGAAGACGACTCTTACGTATTCATCTATGTAAACCATTTTTCACATTGTCAGCAAGCTCCTTAATGGTTCGAAAATAAAATATTATTTTTGTTAATAATCAAGTGTATAAGAAATAGAGTAATCCAGCAAGGAAATTTAAATATAAGGATTTTAAAAATTTCATAAGATGAAACTAACACATCCGCATGCGCTGGCTCTGTCTTATATACATACAACAAAAAATTTTCTGTTGTTGGTTTTATATGCGTAAGCATAGTTTAAAACTAATCCTAAACGTAAAATGTAATATGATAAAACTCAAACGATTTAGGTAACAAAATCCAAGTAAATTATAGAATTATGCTGTATTTTAGTAGTATAGAACCAAGCAGTAAACATGAGTAAGGATAAAACAGGGACAATAAATAAAACAAGACAAGCATGGCGTGAAAAAAATGTATTAATCTTAGACAAAAATACTGTAAAACAAGAGTTCTTTTCTTACCTACTACCTACCCATTACTTTTATTATACTATGCAGATTATATACAATTGATAATGTTGTTAACACTGGACCATTTTACAACGTCAACCGTTATCAGATACGTTGCCCTAATTATCACATAATAATCATAATATGGAAAAGAAGACTACATTTAATCATGATACAGTTATCATGACAACTTAATCGATAAGTCATAGGTACTAGTGTACAATGACCAAAAAAACACCATGTGAAACAAATTCAAAATTTCAAGATGTCACCATTTACGAAAGATTACTAAAAATCCGAATATCCATAGAATACGGCGTAGGTTGGAAAATAAAACCGTCGCAATACAAATGACGGACACAAAATACGACGTGTGGTGAATGACTCAACATAGAAACTACTGACAGACGAAAATAGGATGAAGAATAAAACGAAGCGAGAACGGTCAGAAACGTACTTAAATAATAAAAATACGAGATGTAAAAGTAGACGATGGCCATAACTTCAGGGAAGCAACTCGACACTTGTTATATATTTCGTAAACCGAACGCTCTGACTGGATGGCATCTTAGACGCGTTCTTTGTAATAATGAACTTCAGGTACTCAACACCAAGATATTATGGAATACTAAAATTGACTAGTTCAGTAGTAAAAATATTAATTACAAACGTATGGTACATTTTATGATATTAAACGAAAAACTTTTTACTAATAATTGTATAATTGTATGTTGCATATTATATATACCAACGCATGTTATAAATTAAAATATCACGTTGAAATTGGTATTGCTATATACTTCAAAAATTCAAGATAAATCATTATAAATATCTTACTTAGAAAAAAAATGAAAGTTTTTAATATTTTCTATAGAAAAACATATATTTTTTTTTTTTTTTTTTTAATAAAAATATCATTAGTAAAAATGTATTACCAAAAAAAATTATAATGATTCTACATTAATAGATCCTTCAATATCAGTTTAAAATAAAGCTTTACACTTAGATTACATTCTAAATATTTGAAACTAGTTTTTTATAGATAAAATAAATATGTTAATAATAAAAAAAGTAAAATGTTTGTGTTTTATACTATCGCCGATTACTAGCAGTATTGTTAAAAATGTATTAGATTTTTTGTCAAAAAAGTGATATAATTAGACGGAAAACGCCAGAAGTAAAAAAAAAGTTCTAAATTGAATTACAATTTCCGCACTCAGTCGGTACTATAATAACATTTATTTTATCCAATAAACCGAAGACCTTTGGTCGCTGAAAACGAGAAACCGATCAAACTTTAGGGGATAAATCATTCGGTGACCCATATAAGATGAATTTATAGCAGATCTCGTGTACACGCTGTACGTCGACCATAATTGTATGATAACAACACGTACCAGGTACACAAAGTGAATGCTTTTAGAAAGAGAAACATTTCTAACTCAAAAAACATTTCAAAATATAGTGTTTAGAATATTGTTTGGTCACAGTGAATTAATATATATATATATAAGTGTGTGTATATAGAACATGACATAATACATATAATGGCTTATAAAAAGGGTAAAAGCCAAAAACAGAAAGCATTGCACTAGTACAAATGCTAACTACCATAGGATTTACACATTTTAGGATTTCACAATACAAATTAACAAACAAAAATGTTTTGACCACACATTTCCTGCAAATTCTAAACAGTTCAAATAGCGCAGACATATTATAGTCATTGACCGCAAAGATTTTTGGTTTTAAGCCAAACGCAATGTGTTAGAGTAAAATAATTGTATTAAAAGTTTTTCCTTAAAATTCGAAATGCACTATAAATTACAAAAAGTGGTTTTTCTTTTATTTATAATTTTCAAGGCCAGCATGTGTATAAATACAATTTTCACCAATACATCTCAATATAAATGAAATTTTTAAATTTAAAACTATAAATGAATATAAAATATATAGTTATGCGATTTCAAAAATAATTTGATACATTTTACAACTTACATTATTATTTCAATAAAATATCGATGTAGGTATATAAAACATATTATTGCACTTTTTAATAAGTATTTAAAAGAACTAATTAATCAATACTTTTAAAAAATAATTAATTTAAATAAACTAAATAAGTATAGGTACTGACTTTGTTCAGGTTTCTTCAACAATTCTCAATTTGTATTTTAATTAAATACTAGCTTAATCTGAAAAAAAATAAGTTACACAAAATATCAGTGTTATAGTATTGATTATTAGTATTATAAACAGATATTAAAATATTAAAAATGAATACATAATATTTTGAGAATTATAATTTATAAAAATATTTAAAGGGAAAGGTATATATTCTATTATGTGGGATTGTCGTGTTATAGGAAAATAATATAATCACGAGGTAAGGTTAGTTATTTGAAATTCATATTATAATTAATACCATAATATAATAAAATCAAAATTTTTATTTCTGAAAAGCAAAATAAATTAAACTATGTTATATTATAAATAAATTACATTTAACAATCACCAATTTGAAATACAAATAAAAAATAAAAAATAACCTAAATAATAAACCTAAATGAAAAATGTAATATTTATATTTATACAATGTTTAATTTATAAAATAAGTTTATTAACATTATAAATAGTAATATTTAAGAACAATTTTGAATATCAAAATATCAAAAGTTATTTTTAAAGATATTTATTATTTGAAGAATCACTTATCCTATAATATTATATTATATTTACCTTCGATAATATTAATAAATTATAATAAATTGCGAATTGAAACAATATATTTTTTTCACAAAAATAACAATAAAGTAAAAACATGTCTTTATTGGGGATCATTAACAAATTATTTATTATATATTCAACAAAAATGGTAGGAAAAGTACGATAGTTATTAGTTAGTAAGTAAAGAATACAAACCATTGAGGCAATTTTAATTAATTAATAATTTTTCTTTATAAAAACATACAATGCATAACAAGTAATTAAATAAAGAATAAATTTACTCACTTAAGTCTAAGCTTGTATTCGGGGCGAAGAGTTATAAATTGAATTACACATTATGAAAAAAAAGGAGAAGGACTCTTTTTAAAATATTTATTACAGATAAATTCAATTGAAATTATAAAGAAAAAGTATAGTGAAAGCAACAGTTACAAATTACTTTAATATATTCTATTTATATTTATTAATAGTACTGTTATTATCACTCAGTTACAAACTAGTTAATAAAATATTACTTTAACAAAATCGTAAAATGTGAATTTCAATGACGATATTTATATTTTTGAAAATACCTACTTGTAAACTATTTTTAATAGTTCCAGACTTGATTCTTGATTATTAGCGAAAAATATGTAAGATCATAAAATAACCAAGATTAAAAACCTAAGATATTATACCACCATAATATCATCGACGTAAAGTTACGACCATATGAATGCTTCCGGATAATCATGACTAGTATAAATTGGTGATATGAAGCGTATTCACTAAGATATGGAGTAAAAAAACTGAAAGATTTCAATTACTGCAGTATAAGAAAAAAAGTATGATGTAATAAGCTATAATATCACTATTTTAAATTAAAAAAATTTAAGGAATTGGCATCATTTCTAAAATATAACTGAATTTAAAAGTGAGTTTGAAATATCTTCCAAAAAACTTTCCATGGATATATTTTATAACAGTTCATAAGTAATTTATATAACTTTATAGACATAGGTCTAACTTGAGGCTTTGTAATTAAGAATTTTGTGTTTCACAATTTTTTTTTTTTCATAGACTAGGTCAAGGGTTCTAACCTTTTGAGGTCCACGCCCCCTTTCAAACATGTATGAGTTTATTCCCCACCCCCTCACTACTATAATATTGATGTACACATATTTATAGTTATAACATATTATAATGTTGATTATTGTGGTTTTTTTTTAACATTTTCAAGCCTGAAATTTTATCACGCTTTCTTAGAGGGGGGTACCCCCAGGTTGAGAATCCTTAAACTAGATAATGTTCTTTTTTTTAATATCTTAAAATATCTATTTATGATACAATATTGTTAAATTTATTTTTCATGATCCCCTATATACAATATTATATCATATTGCCTTTGATGAGTCCTTATAATAACCAACATTTAAATTGTGAAATTTAACGTCTTAGAAAAAATATAAGTATATCTGTTAACATTTCAAATAATAGATATATGTAAATAAGAGAATTGATTAAATATTTAATAAGTATCTCAAAAAAAAAAAAAAATGTTTTATTATTAAAAACTTACATAATATAATAATATTGTGTAATTTGTAGAACTAAAGTCGATTAAATAAATTTAAAATAATTCCAAAATCACATTGAACTGAGAAAATATTATATTACGCATCCTTATAAAAGAGTTATTTAATAATACACATCAAATAAATTGAAATATTTCTACGTAGGTATTTTTAATACCTACATATGTATTATGTTCCATATCATAATTATTAACAATAAACCTAAACAAAACTATTTACTCTGTATAATATTGGCCATAGATAATTAAAGCGGTTACAACTTTAAACAAATAAGTATTAACATCCTAAAATAGATATTATTTTATTGAAAAAACTATCGTATTCAGATTATTTGACTGCGTAATTAATGTTGACAGTGTAATAAAGAAACCAATAAAAATGCATGTTTGTAAATACAAATGTGAGGTAGTTTAAAATAAATCCTATGATTAATATAAATATAATATTAGATATTATTTCAATGTTGCATCAAATTAATTTACGTAGACAAATACTAAATATTATAAATTATTTAAATTGAGTTTATTCTTCTTGATTATATCAAAGAAAAATCTTGTTTTACTATGAAATTAACATACTTCTTTGAACTTCAATTTAACTTTGATTATAGCCTTTACTTAAGTAATTGATGCAAAAATGTGCAACTTTTTTTTTATATTGCTGTATATATATATATATACATTTATAAATAATATTTTCCTTAAAAATAACTTATTATAGTAAATATAATATACATGAATACATTTAGTATCAGTAATCATAACACAATTGAATAATAACAAAATAATTGGTTCTATTTGATATAACAACATTGTACTATTTTAATATTTCTGAAAAGTAATTATATTATTTTCATACATTTAAACTCTAAGTACATAATAATAAGCTTTTTTTTAATAACATACTTTCAGCTTCAGAAATTAATATTATTAATTAAAATAATATTATTGAAACATTCAATGGGTTATTAATTGAAAATGTTAAAACTAAAAGAAATTTATTTAGAGATAATTGTGTGTTATATAAATAATATAAAGTACTCAATTTTAAAATATTTAAGCTAAGAAACAAGTAATAATACATTAAACAAATTTAGTATAGTCGAATACTAAAAAGGAAGTAAATAGTTTTACTACATTAAATTTTTTAAGCCGAAGCGAAAATTCAAGTTATCAAAATTGTACTTGCTTGTATGAGTAAATAACACCATTTGGTTTTATGCTTCTATCACATTTAAACCAACAAAAGACTAAAACATGACTAAATGCACTCGACGCAAAGTTCTTGTAAGTAGTAACTATTGTTATCTATGTACTTAAATTAAAACAAGATAACACACACTATACATATAAAATAATGTAAGTATATCTATAGAATTTAATAAACTAAGTTTTAATTATAACAGTTTTCTTAAAGAGATTAACAATATATTCCTATGTGTTAATAATCAAAAATAAAATGCATATGAAAATATAATGAAAAGGGAAAAATTTCATAATTATTCGCGTTTTAAAACGATTTGAAAAAATGCAGGTTAGAATTAGTTTAATTGAGTAAGCAGTATCTAATAAAATTTAATAAATTATTTTACATTACCTAATCATTAAAATTTATTGAAATAGAAATATGATACAGAACATACGTAGTTTGATTTTAAGTGAACCAAACAGTACATTATAGTATAAAATGCAATGAAATACAAAATAATAGTTATCATGTTTAAATTTATATTGAGAATACAACAACATGAAAAAATATGTTTAATATTGCAATTTTATTTCAAAAATAATAAATTTCATTATTTATAGTTTTAACAACATAATAGTGTTAAAAATAATATATATATATATATCATACTAAATACGTCTAAAGAATATATCTGTGTTTAATTGATTAATTAAAAAACTTAAATTATTATTCAAGCTAAATTTAATATATTATAGTTGATAATCATTATATAGTAGGTTCAATTGTTCTTATATATATTTTACGGTACTTGCTCAATTCAAGTATAAATTAAATTAAGATATTTAATTAGGTACATCGCGATACAAGAACATTTATGAAAGTGTATAAACATTGAAAGATCTGAAAAATAAAAACTACACCATAGATAATGAAAAATAATAAAAGTAAACAGATCTAATATAAAAATATACAGTTTATCATTGGTCAATTTCATAATTTGAAAAAGAGAATGATTTCATGTATAACTGATGGAATTAAAAGGAACGGATAAAAGATATTGACAGGGGTATAAAAATTGACAGTCTACAGCAAGTTAAAAGTATCAAGACTTCCATCAATTAATTTACACATAAAAAGCAAATGTGCCTGATCCTTTTTTTTAACTAACGTAGATAGGTTGAGCTTTTAAAGCACCGGTGAATATTCATGTCGCGGACAATCTATCTATAGGAAATAATATGTATATTTTTAGAATTTCCACTATACATGCTCAACTTTGTTCTGATTACTTATCGTATTAGAACTTTATACTACTACGCAATATTCTAAGTAAGGATGTAAAAATGAACAATCAAGAGCCTTAAATAAATTACAAATTCCATAAAAGACTTATTTAAATATCGAATAAGAAAAAAAATTAAAATACTAATTTATAGTCTTTCAAAAAGACATAGGAGTACATGTTCTCATTTTTAGTTAGTCCAGTGAAGTTGTTAGTGCATAATCTGCATTCTATTACCTAAAGATTAGGTATGTTGTTAAAAATGCCATACAGTGCGTGCAAATATTACGTCTTGCAAGTAAAAAAATAAAAAATAAATACCATGTACAACTTGTAAGAAATAAAATGGATAAAAAAGGTTTACATTATTCAAGAATCAAAATGCTTATAGAAAAATATTTTGCCCAACGAAGCAATAAGTAAA